GTCTGTGCTTTTCTTCCACTTGGCTGGTTCACTCACAGAAAACATCAGCATGTTTTTTGAGCACAGAAGGAAGAAGCAGAATGATCTGGGCCAAAGAGAAGTGAGGCCAGACTCAGTGGTGAGGCCAACAGCCTGTACCGTACCCTGAATCCGCAGAGGCCCTCCCTCCTACAGCGACTATATGTGCACACTTTAGGAGTTGACATGTGAAAGTCAAAAGAAGAAAAAACCAACAAGATATGGACATCAGTTAACAAGAACAGGAAGGCAGCCTTTAGGAAGTGGGTAGAGGTCACACAAGAAGGCACAAAGCAGAGGAAGAGCCCTGAGGCATAGGGCAAGCTCTGAGAAAGTGGAACAGCCAGGCAGGCCTAGAAGGAAAGCAGGGCCACCAACAGCCAACCCCATGGCAGGTGCTGGAGACACTGAGCGGAGGAGAATAGGCCCCAGCTCCCTGCACCCCCTCAGGACCAAACCCTGGGTCCTCCACAGCATAGACAGAACCTGGTGAATGCTTCAGAGGAACTAGACATCATGCTACAGTTGTGTGTGAGCACCTGTCCCTACAAAACAAAATGAGACCAACGTCCAGACTGACACAGGCTTAGCAGGTTTCAATTACTTGTTTGTCTTAAATATTAACAAGGATAATTTAGTTTTGACTGTGTTTTTAAAACATAAATTATAATGTTACCATTCGACATGACCCCAAAGTGCTGAGCTCCTAATGAGGAGGGCTTCACATGCTGATAGTACAGGCCACCGCCAAAGGCTCCTAAGAAGGATCAGCGAAGAGGACACAAGACAGACCACAACCGTGACAAAAGTCTAGAAGACCGAACTTAGGAACAAAAAGGAGAAGAGGGATGGATGGGCCCAGAGCAGTGGCAGACCCCAAGCCAGCCTGTTAACTGGATACTGCTCTGGGGAATGGGCTTGGCGTAAAAAAAGGACTTGCAGCTCTGATTTACTCAAATACTTTACCACAAATATAATTCTCACAATTAAAAATTTTAAAAATAAAAGTTTTCTTTTAAAATAGGAACACAATAAGTAACTATAAAGTATAAACCAGATGGGCATAATGGCTTATGCCTGTAATCGCACCACTTTGGGAGGCCAAGGTGGAAGGATCGCTTGAGCTCAGGAGTTTGAGACCAGCCTGAGCAAGGATGAGACCCCGTTTCTACTAAAAATAGAAAAATTAGCCAGGTGTCGTGGTGTGCACATGTAGTCCCAGCTACTTGGGAGGCTGAGGCAAGAGGAGCGCTTGTGCTCAGGAGTTTGAGGTTGCAGTAAGCTATGATGACACTACTGTACTCTAGAGCCCAGGTGACAAAGCAAGACTCTGTCTCCCCAAAAAAGAGAAAAGAAAAAAAAATTAAATGAACAAATTTGAAGAAGACTAAAGCATATTTTTCAAGGTAGAGAGGGAAGCTTCAGTATCTGAAACAATGAATACTATAGTGTTAAATATCAAACCAGGGATGTCACACTAGCCAAGGAACTACTACGTCAGTTTCTAGAATTCCTATAATTTAAGAATATCCCAAACTACAATCCAGAATCCTTTTAAAGAAAAAGACTGACAGTCCTGACTCCACAAAAATGTAAAATAGCATAGTAAAAACTATAAAACAAAGATAATTAAACTGAAAATACCTGCCACATATCTAAGTTGATGGCTCAATATCCCTATAAAAATAACTCCTACAAATAAGGAAAAGACAAAACTCAGTAAGGAATGGACAAATTATTTAAAGTTTCTCTCCTCCTGCTTCATTTTTCAAGTCTAAAAATGCTTACAGGTTCTTCACAGCATTTTTTCCTGGGCCTGGTCTTCCACATAGAAGTTGTTGGAAAACAGATCACTCTCAGAACTACCCCACATACCTACAAGGAGGTCTCCAAGGAGAATAAAAATTTACCTCATAAGTCTCATTTAAAAGAATTATAGTATAATCTAAAAGACTGTCAGATATCTGATAAGCAACTTCTATCTAGAATATATAATGTGCCAGGTGTGGTAGCTCATGCCCATAATCCTAACACTCTGGGAGGCCTAGGTGAGAGGAGAGCTTGAGCCCAGGAGTTTGGGATCAGACTGGGCAACAAAGCAAGATCCCACCTCTACAAAAAAATAGAAAAATTAGCCCAGCGTGGTAGTGCATGCCTATAGTCCCAGCTACTCAGGAGGCTGAGGCAGGAAGATCACTTGAGCCCAGGAGCCTGAAGTTGCTCTGAGCTATGATCAAGCCTTTGCACTATAGCCTGGGTGACAGAAAGAGACCTGGTCTCAAATTAAAATTACAAAAAAAATAGGTATATATATGTACATAATATATATATTTAAAAAATGTAAAAAGGCAGCTTTAAGACAATTGTAAATATCTGAATATAGACTGAGAATTAGATTCTATTACAGAATTAGTCTATTAATTTTATTAAGTGTGATTATAAAAACATTTGCTTATCAGTTAGTCACACTGATGCATTAATGCTAGAACTGACACAGGTCTGTAATGTGCCTTAAAATATTCTAGTGGCCCACCCCAAGCACTTCTACACAGTGTAGAAGGGCAGGGAGGAGAGAGGCTGAGAGTTTGTTCCATTTCTGCTGGGTATGAAAAGTTCAGTTCTTGCAGCCCCTATAAGCTCTCCGAAAAAGACTCCAGAATCTGACCTCAGGACATTTCTGATGTCTAAGTTGGAGATAAGAGAGATGATATATCTAAATCTAACAGCACTTCTTTATGTGTTCTAAAACAAGAGCACAAATAAAGTGAATTATCTTTGAGACTGTGGATGCTAACCTTTTGTAAGTCACAAATACCTTTGAAAATCTGACAGAAGTTATAGATCATCTCCCTTGAAAAATGTGCACACACCATGTATTGAGCTTAATCCAACTTGAAGAGGATCCACCTCACCATCGGAGATGGCAGAGGAGGAGTGACAACCATGATTGCTGGAAGGGACATCCACTGATTTAGCCATCCTGCCCCCTCCCCTCTAGGAACTGGGAGGGCGGAGCATGTGTGATTCCCATGATGTGCTCCCTGAAGATGACTGGCAACAGAAACAGGGATAAAAACACAAGGCCACCATGCCTCCACAAAAATGTTCCTTAAAAGCTTCCAGCAGGAGCAGCTATGATGGTGTCAGACCAGTGGCCACAACACTGTGGCCACACAGCTCACGGTGTACACCTCTTACCTACAAACCATTCACAGGGCCAAACCTTCATAAGCAGCCCTGAGTCCAGGTCTTCACTGTTCACACACAAGGCATTGTTATTCAGATGCTATTGTCTACTAATCTAAACATAACTTAAAATAACTTGGTGGTTCCACAAAAAGGTTATGTTGAAGAAAAGGCACGCAAAGGAATAGGCCTGGGCACAGATGACAGTTCCTGATTCTGAAACTCTGCGCTAAATTTTATTCCAGAAATAATCTGCAGCCACAGTTTTCAGAAACATGCAACACAGGCCAGGTGCGGTGGCTCACGCCTGTAATCCCAACACTCTGGGAGGCCGAGGTGGGCGGATTGCTCGAGGTCAGGAGTTCGAAACCAGCCTGAGCAAGAGCGAGACCCTGTCTCTACTATAAATAGAAAGAAATTAATTGGCCAACTGATATATATATAAAAAAAAAAAAAATTAGCCGGGCATGGTGGCGCATGCCTGTAGTCCCAGCTACTCGGGAGGCTGAGGCAGAAGGATCACTCAAGCCCAGGAGATTGAGGTTGCTGTGAGCTAGGCTGACGCCACGGCACTCACTCTAGCCTGGACAACAAAGTGAGACTCTGTCTCAAAAAAAAAAAAAAAAAAAAAAAAAACGAAACATGCAACACAACAAAAACAAGGGCCATTTTCACATGCCACTTCTTGGTAGGCAATTTGTAGACTAGAAAAATAAACCACAAGATCTATTATCGGAAACCAGGTCTCACCCAGCTCAAGGAGCAATGCAGCTCCCAGATTGTCATGGAAATGTAAGGGCTGGACTAGATACCCATCCACTGCTGAGCAAGGAGGCTGAGACCAAAAGGTGGCATCCCTGATAAAATGGGACCTGGTAGGCTGAGCAGTCACAGGAATGTATCCATTCTTAAATGTCACTAACACTTGAAGGGAAAGCTTATTCACAGGGGCATAAAGGAAGCAGACTACCTTTTGGTGATAAGACCCCAAGATTCAAAAGTAAGAAAAAGGCCAAATTGACAACGAGGATAAACAATGTTGGCTGAACACTCCCTCCACCCTACCCACATCATCTCATTTAATTCTCCCAACAATCCTACAGATAAGACATAGGAAGTTAGGAAGTCTGGGATCAACCCTCTTATTACTATCCTATACTGCCTTCCCAACTCCTGCATTAGGTTGGCTGCCTGCCCTGATAATTAAGAAATAGTCATCAAAACCTATACATATTCAATGGCCAAAAACACAATAAAGAAATTCCATCAATAGGAATGGCTTACATTATTAAACATATAGAGAAAAGGTTAGGCAGAACTCTTATAGGTAACAGAGAAATTTGAAAGAAACAGGAGAAAAACAGGAACATAATGATCTAGACAGCCATTTATACAGAAATTACATGAGGTGACAACAAAGCATGTCAAATATAAAAGTGTCTGCTTGGGACAGTTGGGATGGAGCTTCCTGAGCTCCGCTCTTTTCCATGCACGTTCGTTCTTTCTTTCTTCAGAGGCTTGGAACAGTCCTTGGGTAGATCCTGGAGGGTCATGCTTGTGCTTCTTCACATCCTTGTGGGGGTACGCACTTGTGTCTGTTGCTGGACACCAAGCAAGATGACTGTGGTTTCTGCTGGGGACACACTGGGTCTGATGCAGATGACTTGGTGCTTGGTGCAGGGCTCCAGCTGCCTGCCTGCTTGCCGACTCCTCAGGTTGCACACACTTACCTGGCAGCCAGTCAGCATCAGACCAACACACCAACATGGGTGGACCCACGGCCCTGCGAGCCTTACCTTATGTACACTTTTGGGGTTTTCCAGCCAAGCACAGTACATCTCCTCCACATAGTTCGAACTAGTCCCACTCAGAAAGGGTTCGGCAGCAACTGGTGCAGAATAGCACCGAATCTGTTGAAATGTCCTAGCTGCTGCTGGTCTGTTTTGTGAAAATGTCTTAACAGTCTGGGAAGCCGTCAACGGCCTCAATTTAGCAGCACAAGTCCTTAAATGAAACATTTTTGTCCTTAAGTTTTTCACGACTGCCTGTACAAAAAAACGAGAAAGAAAAGTTTTTTAAAAAGAGCATTTTAGGAGATAAGGCTTCTAGAAAAAAAATAAACTTGCCCAACTCTGATGGTTGAAGAGAAAGATTCTGATCTGTAAACGCATCTGCAACACTGTGCTGCCAGCTAGGTGACACTAGGTTCAAGTGCCTGAGAGCATGACAGAGCCATTACTATGTCAAACTGACAGGATGTCTGCACCAGCCCAGGGAAGGTTGGTGCACAGTTGCAGATGTTACCATCTTCACTTAAATGTTCAAATCAAGGCTGGATGTGGGGATGCACTGTAATCCTAGCACTTTGGGAGCCCAAGGTGGAAAGATCACTTGAGGCCAGGAGCTTGAGACCAATCTGGGTCTCTACCCTATCTCTTTTTTATCAAATCTAGTTTAAGGGGTAAGACAATTACAGACATCTGATGTTCTAATTGTATACATATAAAGCAATTACAAAAGGCAAAAAGGATTAATTTAGGAATAGAATGAATTGAAGAATGAAAATCATTTTCTAATCAATCCAGAAACTACTGAGCACCTGCTGTATTCATGGTATTCTAGAAAATACAGAGAATTAGAAAAATACCTTGCTTACCCTCGAGCAGAGGAGAAACAAATATAAAAAAATATTACAGAGAAAACTCTGAGTGCTTGAGAGGCACAGAACATGCCAACAAACCCCCTGGGAGGATGGGCTCCTTCTGGGTGGTGGCATTTCAGGGGAGGAAGGACATGAATGTGAAGGAAGAGGACGTACTGCATGTGGAAGGACCCACAGGAGGAAAGAGAGATGGGAAGAGCCAGAACCTTCTGGTACTAGGAAGTAAGAATGAGTAAAAGCTAGGGAGGGGCCTCGTCCAGGGTCCTGCCCGTCACCTCTGGCACTCATCCCCCTTTTATGAGCCATGGGGAGTGAAGTCTGCCCAAGAGGGCACGCAGTGGGTTCCACAAACGTTGAAAACAGCACTTGCCTAGCACCTTGGGAGGCTGAGGCAGGAGGAGCGCTCAAGGTCAGGAGTTTGAAACCAGCCTGAGCATGAGTGAGACCCCGTCACTACTAAAACAGAAAGAAATTAATTGGCCAACTAAAAACATATAGAAAAAATTATCCAGGCATGGTGGTGAATGCCTGTAGTCCCAGCTTCTCTGGAAGCTGAGGCAGTAGGATTGCCTGAGCCCAGGAGTTTGAGGTTGCTGTGAGCTAGACTAATGCCACAGCACTATAGCTTGGATAACAAAGTGAAAAAAAAAAAAGAAAGAAAAGAAAAAGCAAAGAGCACCTGGAGCAACTGTTCAGTAATACCTGCCTGTGTTAGTGAACCAAGTGCCCCGGATGGTGAGCTACTCCACACATCTGACTCATGCCTAACCCACACACTCCCTGTAAGGTAAGTCTTCTGCTTTATGGCCCCGGTTTCTGTTGTTTCAACCAAGGTCACAGGGCTGCTGGTAGCCAAGATCCCAAGCCAATCTTCCTGATGGCACAAGGAGTAAAGTTCTACAAGGACACTGCCTGTGAAAAAAAGGTGCTTGCTGGCCTAATGCTTAGTTAATGATGAATGTGCTTCAAAGTAGGTAGCCTGGTTGTAAAGCTGGAATTATGCCCCACAGCCACAACTACCTGAAGAAAATTCAAGCTCTGAAACATGCTGTGAATTACCCAGAAATAAATGTAACATAAAAATATCTTCTATATTGTGCATCAGAACCTTCCTCTTGGTCCAAATATGTACAGAATACACCTAAGAAAGACCGACAGAGAGGGGTCAGAGTGTCCTGCATTCTTTTCTGTCCTACTTCACCAACAAGAAAAAGAAAGGTCAGCAAAAGGGAAAAAAGAACAGATTCTTTAAAAACAAACTAAACAACTTACAAAAACTTGCTCCTTACAAATTAAGGTGAACAAGCAATATATTCTCGATGTAACTACAAAATGTAATCCTAACCCCTGGGTTTTCTTTTACTTTAGAAATCAAGTTTTAAGTTAACTTAGTAGTTCTTCCTACTTTCATCTACATCCAAATTCTTCTACTAATAAATTTAAGGCAAAGAGCTCTAACACTGATGACAAAAATAATACCACTGCTGCATTTGAGGCTAATTTTGTATTACATAGGTCCAAAGGAAAACATTCATTTTTTTCCTCTGATAGCATTATCTAGGCAGCATGAAACACCCAATTGAATCTGAGTTGGATTTTCTCCTACAATACAACACCAGCACTTCATTAACTTTTTTTTTTTTCTTTTTTGAGACAGAGTCTCACTTTGTTGCCCAGGCTAGAGTGAGTGCCATGGCATCACAGCAACCTCAAACTCCTGGGCTCAAGCAATCCTCCTGCCTCAGCCACCCGAGTAGCTGGGACTACAGGCATGTGCCACCATGCCCAGCTAATTTTTTCTATATATTTTTAGTTGGTCAATTAATTTCTTTCTATTTTTAGTAGAGATGGGGTCTCACTCTATGCTCAGGCTGGTTTCAAACTCCTGACCTTGAGCAATCCAACCCCTGGCCTCCCAGAGTGCTAGGATTACAGGCGTGAGCCTCGGAGGCACTGAGGCACTCGGCCACCTCATTAACTATTATTTAGTTGCCACAACAGCCCAATTAACAGGCACTGCACTAACAACCATAAAAACGCCCGTTTCATCTGTTCTTCCCAAAGAGGTCCTTTCAATATGATACTGGTTAGTAAATCAGGATGTTGAGTTATCTGCAGCCACTGAATCTGACAAATAGTTTAGTGCTGCCCAACACAGTTACCAGCATAGCTAGAGATTTCTAAACTTCCCTTAAGATGACTCATCGGAAAAGCTGCCCTTCAGCAGATGGCTCCACATCCCCCTGTGCCCAGGAATGGCCAGGACAGCTGTCCGCTGTTCACACTCTGACAGACACAAGAGCTGACACTAACTTACATTTGCACTGCACTTTGGTAAAAGGCCCATCCTTAACCTTTCTCTCTTACACGATGTCATAAGAAAGTATTAATATAAATACAAAAAGAAAGCAAGCTACTAGCCAGTCAACATTGGGTCTTGAAATCTAATTCTAGAGTTCTTTAACCATACTAAGTGAACTTTCTGAATAGCACATCAGGCCCGGTGGGTGGCTCACACCTGTAATCCTAGCACTCTGGGAGACTGAGGTGGGTGGATGGTTTTAGCTCAGGAGTTCGAGAACAGCCTGAGCAAGAGCAAGACCCCGGTCTCTACTACTCTACTAAAAAAAACAGAAAGAAATTAGCTAGACAACTAAAAAAAAAAAATATATATATATATATATACACACACACACACACACAAATATTAGCCGGGCATGGTGGCACATGCCTGTAGTCGCAGCTACTCGGGTGGCTGAGGCAGTAGGATTGCTTGAGCCCAGGAGTTTGAGGTTGCTGTGAGCTAGGCTGATGCCACAGCACTCTAGCCCAGGCAACAGAGTGAGACTCTGTCTCAAAAAACAAACAAACAAACAAACAAATAAATAAATAAAAGAGCTCAAGCTATAAGACACACTTAGCGGTTTTATAACTTCCAAGTTATAATAAAGTAAATCTTTGTGACCATGATTCAAATAATGGTGGATTCTTAGTTATGACATCAAAAGTACAAGCAACAAAAGAAAAAACATACATGAGATCTCATCAAAATAAAAAATTTTTATGCCTCTAAGGACTCATTAAGAGAAGATACAGAATGGGAGAAAATACCTACAAGTCATTTATCTGGTAAGGAACTTGTATACTGTATAAAGAACTCATAACTCAATAATAAAAACACAACCCAATCAAAAAAGAGGCCAAGTAATCCTAGCACTCTGGGAGGCTGAGGCGGGCAGACTGCTGGAGGTCAGGAGTTCAAAACCAGCCTGAGCGAGACTCTGTCTCTACTAAAAACAGAAGAAATTAATTGACCAACTAAAAATATATATGCAAAAAATTAGCTGGGCTTGGTGGCACACGCCTGTAGTCCTAGCTACTCAGGAGGCTGAGGCAGTAGGATCGCTTGGGCCCAGGAGATTGAGGTTGCTGTGAGCTAGGCTGACAACACGGCACTCACTCTAGCCTGGGCAACAAAGTAAGACTCTGTCTCAAAAAAAAAAAAAAATAGGCCAAGGATATGAATAGACATTTCTCCAAAGAAGATATACAAACAGCCAATAAACACATAAAAAGATGCTCCACATCTTTAGTCATTACGGACACACAAATCAATACCACAAGGAGATACCTCTTCACACTCACTACATGCAATCAAAAAGAAAATAACAAATGTTGACAAAGATGTGGAGAATCTGAAACCCTCATGCATTTCTGGTGTGATGTAAAATGGTGCAATCACTTTGGAAAACAGTCTGGCCGTTACTTAAGGGATAAACACAGAGTTACCATGTGATCCATCAAGTCTACTCCTAGGTATATAACCAACAGAAATAAAACATGTTCACACAAAAATGTGTACACAAATGTTCATAGCAGGATCATTCATAAAAGCCAAAAACAAGAACCCAAATACCCATCAACTGATGAATAATAATAATAATAATAATAATAACTGATGGATACACAAAATTTGGTATAGTCACACAACGACTAGTATTCTGTAATAAAAACAAATGAAGTACTGACACATGCTACAACATGGATGAACCTTGAAAACATGCTCTATGAAAGAAGTTAGACATAAAAGAACCCATATTATGATTCCATTTATATGAAATGTCCTCATGTAGAAGAAACAAAACTGTTTTTCCTGCGCTCTACCATCACAATAATCAATACAAAAGACTTCTATGACCAAACATGGGGGTATTCCTCCCCACCAATAACCAATCAATTCTGCAGATGACAGCAGCTGGTATCTCACACTGTCTACCTGGAGACAGCGTAGGTGTCCTTCCCACGCATACCACCCTCCAGGAACCTCCACATGCTCAAGCTACCCAGCTCTCTGCAGCCTGTCCTCTTGGGCCATTTATGGAG